TGGTTCAACTTGATGATTTTGGAGGTCTTTTCCAATTTTCATGATTTTATGATTCTTTAATTCTGTGATTCTCCATCCTGGGTTTCCAGCAGGAGACAGCTGAGCTGGGCTTGGATGGCTGATGATTTCATCATCACTCTCAAAGAGCTGCTGTGGCTGGTTAGACAGGAGAAGGCCCTGCCATTGGAGTGGTAGCAATACAACATGGCAACACAGGGCAATACAGCATGGACAGCAGCATGAATGGATGTATGTCTGCATGAATTCAGTGACCAAAAAGAGCAAGGATGGGCTCTTCCATGCTGAGCAAAGAGGAAGTTGAGTGTGTGCAACACATTTGTTGCACCGACAGCTGAAATGCAAACGATGCTCTCCCTACTCTTCGCAACAATGCGAATGCTTTTGGACTCCATCTCAATATAGACAAATATCTGTGAGGCAGACTTCTTTATCGTGCTCTTTATCATACACAGGGCTTCTGCAAGCCTAATGGTGATGCCACCACTTGAAGCTATCTCAGACAGATTTCATCTCATGGTGTTACACATTCAGCTTACAGCTGCTGGAGGAAGGAGGTATGTGCAAGACCCTCACACCTCTATTTCATCACAAAGATTAACTTTTTATAGGTGTCGGCTAAACATAAATGTCAGCCTTGTCAGCAAGAAATGAGCTGGAGAGTGCTGACACCATCCAGGAAATGTGTGTACTTTGTGTAGACAATGTTGCAAGGTCAGTGTCTTAAGCTCTAAGAAGAAAAAAACTGGAAACTAAACATCACCTTGCTATTTATTTATCAGATTATCTTGCAGTGCACCATCACATTCACTAACATTTACTACAGCTTCTAAGCAGCAAAGTTTCTACTGTTTCTGGCAGTTCTGTCTTTCTCAGGCAAAAAACCTGTGGTTGGAGAAGACTTTTATTCTGCTGCTTATGTTTTTTTCAAGTGGGATTGGTTGGAATGTTCTCCAAGAATTCTTCTCCAGATGAAAAGAAAGTCTACTTTACCAACTTCCTTTAACACAAGCTGTTATCCACAGCTTCTGCAATCTCTTCTCTATAAGTGTATCTCTGGTGATTCTTCTTTTTTTATTTTTTGTTTTGTTTTGGCTTTCTTGCAGGATGGTAAGTTAACAAGGGATATATGACAAAAACGTTGCTTGGGGACACCAGCTTAGAATGAAATCTTGGATTCATTTGGTCATTGCCTCTCTGCAGCTCTTCATGAGTTGCTTGACTTTGTCCTCCATTTTAGAAACACTGTAAATATCTGCATGTTTTGCTGTCTGTCACTTCATGTGTCTCTTGCCTCTAGACACTACAAAAAAATGGAGCAAGGACCATCTCGATGTTGTGCAGTGTTCACTGCAATCATATCTGACCCATCCCAAGTCTTCATGGCACTGTCACAGCAGACACAGTAACTTGTGTTTCAAGGCACATTTAATAAAATCATAGAATCGCAGAATTATTTGAGTTGGAAGAGACCACAAAGGTCGTTCACTGTATAGGAAAAGAAAGGAGATCATTTAGACACAGCAGTCTGCTGTTCTTGGCTCTGGATCGCTAGCAGCCCAGTGTGTGTTCACATCCAAATCCTACCCCATACTATATTTTAATTAAACTGAACAAACAAACCAATCATGAAGCCATCCAACAGTGCTAACTTTGGATTGTGGCTGAGTTGGACCACACAGCACTACAAGGAGGGGATGTGGATATTCACAGAGCTTCTTTCTGAATATACATAGCCAAGAATTGCACATACTTTCTTACAATAAAAAAGTTGCTGGGAAAAAAAATGCCTTCAGGACTGTTCCCCTCTTGCCCATATTTTTTCAAGCTGACTTCCTCTCTCTGCAAATTTGGCAAACAGAGCCTGGCATCCCAGCTCAGGGGACACCTGTTAAATAAATAGGCTCAGTCTCTAGCGGCTGCATTCATGGCAGAGATTCCCAGTTCCCTTAGGCAGCTAATTTTTGTTGATTATCATACAGTATAGAGGGATTGTCTGTATTTCTCCATCCCATGCAGGCACTGCTGCTGGTAGAAGCATATCCATGTGACTCAAGCCTGCTGCCTGCATGGAATGAAGAATGGCTTTTGTTCCATCATTTGGTATAGATCAGAAGAGGGGTGAGATGGGGTTCCTGCAGTTGATTTGCTTGGTTTTCCTACAACAACATCTTTTAGTAGAAAGCAAAGAGCTGAACTAGGGCTTAACTGAGAGCAGAAGTCATGGTGCATGAGGCAGACATGAATGATCTTGCTGATAGACAACAGGTAGGCTGGGAGAGCCTCAAAACAGGACTTCACAATGAGGGGCATCCATCATCTAAATTTTAGTGCTGTGATTTCCAGGATATAGAACCACTGACTTCAGAATAGAGACTAAGACTCCCATTTACAATAGTGATCACCCCACCTGGGACTTCAAAGTTTAGCACCCAAGGGCTCCTCTTGAATTCTGAAGCAGAAACAATGAGCTTCAATACTAAAGAATCAGTGGAGGACCCTTATGTAAGTTTAGGAATGGCACTGTTCAGTTTGGCTCCTTTCTTCTCACTGCCTTGTAGTCTCCATTTCACATTCACTGTGTTCAGTACTCAAAAGACAGTGTTTCTAAGGTATCCAAGAAAGAAGTACTGTTCACATCCATGTTATAGGTGAGACATGGGTTGTAGGTGAAGGCAATACCATTTATTGAGTGAAAAAGGCTACTGAAAACAATAGACAAGTATGTGCTTCTATACACCTTTTTTAGACTAGAAAGGGGTGTATCTGCTGCAAAATACCACTGAAACAGGGGTGGGATCACTGCCAAGAATTCAACTGAGATGAGAAGCCCATCTATTTCTGTGCATTTGGAACCCTATATGAAGTTGTAGTCTTGAGGGCTCCTCCATACTGGCTGGAAAGATTCACGGTTTATTTTTGAGCACTGAATAAACTACATCTATCTATAGAGTTGGCTCAAAACTCCCTGGGAATTCCACGGAAAAATCCCCCCCATTTTCTTTTTAGAGATAATTATTCTGAAATGGAACGAAAAGCAAATCTCCTGTGGAATGGGAACTCTCACACTCAGTTTAGATGAAGTTGTGAAGGGATTGCCTTTAAATATTTTTTGGAGAGCATCTGAAGCTTGCTGAGGAGCCTGAAACAGCCTGCCAGCTTTAGAAAAGATGGGAGCCTAAACAGTCCTGACAACCTTAAATGAAAACCAAATACAGCATGGCAACAGAGTCCAGAAAATTTGGGGCATTTTTTTCCCATAATTGATATTTCAGAAACTCAATTTTCTCTGAGAAAATAATACCACCAAAAATATCTGCATTATAAATCTCCCTCTCTCTCTCTCTTTTTTTTTTAAAAAAAAACAACAATGTACATTAAAGAAAAATGATGTTGCTCTCCCATATATGAGTGTGAATTTCCACTCTTTTTCACAACATGATAGCGTCCATCTATCCAGAAGAAACTTGCAACTTGCATCCCAGACACCCATGACTATATTAAACACGTCGGGAATGAGGAAGAAAACTCAATTTTTATGTTTATAAATGTGTTGAATGAGACAAACACACCTGATTTCTGCCATGCTTCCAGTAGACCACCTTCAGCATCTCTGGTAGAAAGATGAACTCACAAGTGTTGCAAGACTAGGGAAGAAGGTTTGGCAATGAGAAAGAGAACTGTTTCATCCAAAAAAAGATGTGGTGGGTTGTTTACTTTACAATACATGACCATGGATGATCCAATTCCTCTTTTGATTCCAGCTTCTTGATCCCTCCAGCTTCCTATGTCCTGCCTCACTGTTCTTCAATGAACTCATTCCATTTTATCATCCACTTTTACAGTGGAGGACATCAGGAATGGATGGAGTATTTCAGGGCTGATTATATTAGTAGTCTTCGCTATTTCCACTTGAAGTTTCCCTGGTTAACAGAACTCAATGATCTTTATGGGTCCCTTCCAACTTGGGATATTCTATTCTGTGATTAGACAACCCAGACTGTATTTTCTATTTTAGCTTCCTGCTGTTCAACATGACTCTGTTTACCCAGCAGAAAATGTTTTCCAAGGTGCAATTCCCTTCTGAGTCTGTAATTTCCTTTCTTTGTTAATATCTGATTTTTCAACGATGATGAGCTATAACACACTGTGCTGGCATGTATCCAGCTTGCCTGGTTATTCACCAGCCTCAGTGTCAGCTGCAAGGAGCTGCAGCAATTCTATATTTTCTTTGTGTTAACTACTGATCAGGAATGATAACCACTTAACACTAGGCATAAGATAAGTTCTTAAATCACCATCACACGTGTCTTGCTTGTTTTGATTCAGGTCTACCAGTGGATCAGTTAAAGCGTATCTGAGTATCAGTTAAACTCCCTCGTACTTGGAATTCCTTGCCTCTTCCTCTCCGTTACGCAAATCTATCAATTTCCCTTTCACTGAGATTTTGACCCATTAATGAATCATTTTAATGGGAAAACACTTATTTTTTCTTCTTCGCATTGATTTTAATTTGCATATCAACAGGTTTAAGATACAGCACCTAAAAAATGTATTCTAACCTGCTTATTTTATTGGTATCATTTATCTTAATTCTAACAGGGACAATATTGCTTACAGGGGTTTTGAAGTATACTAATTTTATTTACTCTACACCTGGCAAATCTGAAATATAAAAACACTTTTTCCATGCTATTAGAAGAATAGCATGGAAACTGGATAACTATAACTTATTAAGCCATCTCTGTTTTTTAATATGTGCCATTCATGTTGTATGGTATATGCAGAATAATTTAAATAGCAGCAATTACCCAGCCAACGTCTCTTTGCTGAAATGCAGTATAGTTTGACTGACTCTTCTGAATGAAGAATAATGATTTTTGAGGAGAAAAGTAAGTACCTAGGAAGAGAAACATCAAATAATTACTAACCATGACCATTATTCAATAGTGTTGTGTCTCTCTTTGCTTGGTCTATTAAGAATCAAGTTTCACCAACTGAAAATTGACATAATTTCTTTGCTGGAGTGAAACTGAGATCAGAAATCAGTCTGTGCTGTTTATGAACATCAATAACAGAAGGTGAAGAAAAAGGTGAGACATGAAATGCCACTCCAGGAGCATTGACTAAGCCCCGCTTCACATCTAGATTTGGGATTTACTCTTTGCTGTGTTCAGTCACATCACCAGACGGCACCAATGAAGAAGGTGTTGGAAACCAGTAAGTTAAAAGCACATTTATTTAAAGTATCTGGAAATCTCTGTGACTTTTTCTGGACTTGTTTAAGTGAGAAAAGTTCTTGAGTTTGCTTAGGCAGGCTTTGATCTTGCTGCACAGTTGTTGTTTTTTTTAGGTACTATGGAGCAGGAAAGGACTCCTCCAAAGCCTGCAGATGTGTGCAAACTCTCTTCATAAGACCTTACTTCCACATCACTGCAGGGGACAATGAAGAACTCCACATATGTACTTTATATCTTCTTGAGACTTTCTGAAGTCTCTCTGGATCCTGGAAGATGCTTCATGCATATGAGCTATTGTTAGCACAGGTGCCTTTCCACTGCAGCATATGCATCACTCCGTTGCCCAGCAGCTGCTTGCCTCCACATGGGTGACTCAAGAAGCTGCAAAATTGCTAAACCGAGACTCCTCCCTACTACATTTTCAGGTTACAGTTTAATTTCCCCACCAAGTGATGCATTTTGATGCATTAGCTGCTCTGGGTCATTCAGATGTACTCCACAAATAGAGGGGTTTGGGGAAAACACTTGCAAAATGTTGGGAAAGGGATCTAGTATCATGGGAGGATTTCTGTCCTGATCATGGAAAAGCAGATGATAAGAGGAAAAGAAGGCATGATGGGGAAAAAGAAAAAAAAAAAAAGAATTAGTGGGCGCAGCAACACTGATTGGACTAGATCTTTGTGGTCTTTTCCAATCATAATGATTTGATGATTCTATAATTGCAAAGGGAAGGTGCTTGGCACAGGAGAGAGGCTGGAGTTTACCTTGGCTTTGATGTTCTTCGAACTATTCCCATATATTAGATGTGATAAACCATTTCCCTCTGCCAAGTACCCTACTCCTGTCATACATCACATACAGATCATAGTAGTCTTTCTCTGGCCTGTGGTCCTCTATCCATCATCTATGAAGGAGGTGGCAATTGTGAATGCCCATAATGGGACAGTCTTCCCAAAGCTGTGGTGGGGAAGATCGTAAAACAATTCAGTTAAGGATGCTTCCCTTAAAAACCTGCAGCCTTCTTTAATCACAGGATTTATTTCAAGGCAGACAAACTTCCTAGAAGCAAGGAAGTAGTGCCCAACTTGCTTCTAGAGGGCTGTGGTGACATTTTTACATAGACTGGTAGCAGAAATAGGATACAGTTCTTATAAGAGCTGTTGTCTTCCATAGCCCCTGTCCTTGCTAGAGGGGGAAGCTGAAGTGAACTGTTCTTGCTTCACACCTAAGTTGTCCTCCAAAGGCAGACAGAAGTGGTGAAGATGGTTTGATGCCATGGAAGCACACGAGACTCGTGTTTCCAGTTCAGACTTCAAATACGATTAAGAAAGTTCCAGAATTTCCAATTTCTCACCTTGTTTAAGCTGTTGGTCAAAACAGTCAGTAGCCTCATGAAGGTAAACTCTGGTAGACCTGAAATCCAAAGCATGATATGCACTTAGGGAGACACATACTGGTCTTGGGAAACAGGAATGAACAAGGCAAACTTCCTTCAGCCACCATTTCCTATGATCATCCCAACTAGCAGCTCTTGTCAAGGGAGTTTCCATGGTTTCTGTGTGTCGAACAGACTGTGTGTGGTTCCATTCCATGCATTACTCATGACAGACACTGATGTTGGAATGATTCAGGTGGGCTTTGGGAACTGAGAATGCTTATATAAAAACAATTTTTTCTTGATAAAATATTCAGATGGAATTGGAGAGCCTCTAGGAGCAGATAAAGCATGAAGGAAACTAAGTGTCATTCCCAAGAGCAGGACAAAAAAAAAAAAAAAAAAAGTGGAAAAAACTTTACCTGGATGGAAGACGTGCTCTTACAGTGATAGCAAGGGACTCTGCAATATAAGTTCAAGAGCATGTCACAGTCTGGGGTGAAATGCTTGCAACTAAGGACCTTCCACACCTAGATGGAAAACTCTAGTTGAAACAAGTGTCCAAGCCAGCATAATACAATAATATATCTGGATTTTTATCCCTGGCATTTTTTGCTTTATGTTATGGTATCTGTCTTTTAGATAAGAGCAAGCTGTATAGGTGTGAAGCAGGGAAAAAAAAAGACATACAAACTGAAAAGGACTCCAGTCATTAGGTATGTATTTAACAAATGAACTGAAAGACGGAAATCTTTAACATTCCACCCTCCCTCAGCAATTCATTATGCGCCTCAGAAAAATGAGTAAATGAAGGACTCTGTGGATATAATTTGAGAATAGAAATTATTTTCTAAGATCTACTAAGAATTGGAAGAAGATGCTCAAAAACAAGATGCTTAAAAATATGCCCTAAATACGTAATTTCACAGAGTGCCTTCTGACCTGCGTGATGTCCTTTCCTTTCCTTTCCTTTCCTTTCCTTTCCTTTCCTTTCCTTTCCTTTCCTTTCCTTTCCTTTCCTTTCCTTTCCTTCTCCCTCTCCCTTCTTTGTTGAAGTGTCTTACAGGACCTTGTCTATGGATCCAGGCTAGAAATTTCTCCCTAATTGAGTCATCAGCCTCAAACATCTCTGAACATCTCTGATCAGCTATTGAGAGAAAATTCCAGTCTTTAGAATTACTGCTCACATCAAAGATACAATACAAGACTTACCATTCAGTAAAAAATTCACCTGAAGTTTTTCCCTACTCTCTTAATGACATGGCAGAAGGCCATCACTTTTCTGATCAGTTCAAGTTTTAGTTGTTATTAGAGCATCAAATTTTGGCATGGAGAGTGACCTCTATTTCACTAGACATAGATATCCTAAATGGAAGTTTCCTGAAACATCTTTTACCAGGATAGCAAGGCATATGGGAACTGCTGAATCACAGCCTCAATCTCTGATTGACCATTTGAGGCATTGAGTCAGCCATAGGAGCACAGGTGAAGGTAATTCACCTGTGCTACTGGAAAGGGTGGAGCCTGGCTCCACCTCTCCTGGATCCCATTTAAGTGCTGACTGCCACTGAGGAAGGATCTCTTCCTGGCAATTGCTCCTTCTGGGGAATATTGTGAGCCTACAACATCAGTAAGCATTTTCCATTTGTTGTTTTCCACCTATTATCTTCCTGTTGCAATAATCTTAGCCTTACTTTCCTGTATATTTCTTACTTATATCATCTGTATATTCATTGATTATACGTGAGGGGTCACTATGAGCTTGAGTTCAGGTATGCTCCTTAGACACTGAGGAAGCCAACTGAAGCGTGCCCTGTGTTTCCATCTTAGTTAGGTCTATCTTTGCCTAGAATCATAGAACTACTAAAATTGGAAAAGACTTCAAAGATCATAATAGAACCATAGAATGGCCTGAAAAGGACCGCAATGATCATCTAGTTTCAACCCCCCTACTATGTGGAGGGTTGAAACCAGTAGACCAGGCTGCCTAGAACAGAATCATTGGATGGCCTGGGTTGAAAGGAGAAGATCTTCTAGTCCAATCATCTAGATGTAAGCCAAACTATACTACAATGGAATTTAAAAGACAAAAGTCTATCCTTCAGTGTGTTCTGGGCTTAAAAATCATCCACTCAGAGCAAAACTAGACAAAATTCTCATTCTGAGTTATTCATATTCTGCTATTGTGATGACTGGTGAACTGACACTTCTTGCTGCAAGCTCAGATGAACGTGTCATGGAATCACTGAATCGTAAACTGGTTGTGGTTGGGAGGATCATGGGTCCAACCATTACTCAAGCATGAACAGCTAGAGAAGGGTGCCCTGGACCATGTCCAGGTGAGATCTCCAAAGAGGGGAAAATCCACAACATATGAATGTGCATTATATCTGCATATGAGAAGTCCAGTATATGTCTTGAAGCCTCTTCCTCGTAACTGTTGGCATTAAAAATAGATATCGTTTTTTGTAATTGTTGTTAGGGTTGAGAGACAGCTGCACATTGCATACCAAGTGCATAGTCCAAACTCTATTCTGATTCAGTGGTTGGCTACCCTGCCCATGGCAGTGGGGTTGGAACTCAGTGACCTTTGAGACCTGTTCCAACTCAAGCCATTTTATGATTCAGTGATTCTCTTCAAGTTGTGTTTCTTTTCAGTGGCCTGAAAACATACCTCTCATTCTCCTTGCAGTTAGTGAGTTAATATCCTTCTCTGATGAGGCTGGAGGTTCGTGTGCTGATATTGGTACTACACACAAAGCTTAGGTGCTACCAAGTGTTTCCTGCTAGCATGACTGAACATGTAACTACACTAAAGAGGCATAACCAAGAGGAAGAGAGGGCTTGTTTTCTATTACTTCACTGATTTCAATGGAAGCACATGATCCCTAATGACCATCTGTTGATTATTTTTCACTTGAAGATAGATGGGTGTGATTCATGGCCCATTCAAAACAGCAGCTCCCTAAAGAAAAACGTGAAAGCATTTGTGAGCATGTAAAACTGCACTGTTTCCAAAGTAAAGACGTAGAAAATGGCAGATCCAAATCCTCTCTTTTTTTTTTTGAGATTGCTTCTGAGTGGTTTTGCCAAGGCCTATGTGTTCTTACTCAGACTTTCTGAGAGATTTTCCCATTTTCATGGAATTATTGATCTGTTGGTGAATTGCACAT